CCCCCCCCCCACCAAGGAGACATCCCCCGAACGGTGCCGGGCCCAGCCGAACGGTGCCGAACCGAGTCGAACTGTGCGAGGCTGAGCCGAGCTTTGCCGAGTCGAGCCCTGCCAGGCTGAGCCTTGCTGAGCCGAGCCTTGCCGAGCCCAGCCGAACCGTTCCGATGGGTGCCAGCCCCTTCCCGCCGAGCTGCCGGCGCCGTGGTGCTGAAGGGACAGCTCCGGGCAGGGAGCGGGCAGGGACGTGCCACCTGGACTCTTTCTGGTATTTCCTCTTTTTCTCCTCTCCTGAGGCTTCCCCGGGCTCAGCTGCAGCAAGGAATGGAAGTACCATTCCCATTAACCTCACTGCCCTCTACAACTCCATGAAAGGAGGGTGTAGAGAGGTGGGGGTTGGCCTCTTCTCCCAAGGGAATAATGACAGGAGCAGAGGAAACGGTCTGAAGTTGGGGCAGGGGGGGTTTAGATGAGATATTGGCAAGAATTACTTCACTAGTCAGCCACTTTGGGCCTTTGCCAGAACCTCCGAAAAAGTCACACCAGCTCCCAAGCCTGTACAGCTGCCCAAACCTGCTCTGCCCGCTGCACATCAGGGTCCCAGGACGGGGTAAATTTAGCATAGCTGGCTCAGCACAACCCACTCCTGCTGCACAACACACAGGGTGTCACACAGGGATGTTCTGACTGTCCCGGGCTCAATAACCGGTGGAAGTTTTTTTGTGGGTTTTTTTGTTTGTTTTTTTCTAAGGTTTGACTCGATGATCTCAGGGGTCCCTTCCAACCATGGTGATTCTGTGATTCTGTGATACCCAGGCGCTGAGTGCTGTGTTCGGTTCTGGGCCCCTCACTAGAAGAAGGACATTGAAGCGCTGGAGCGTGTCCAGAGGAGAGCCACCAAGCTGGTGAGGGGTCTAGAGAACAAGTCATAGGAGGAGAGGCTGAGGGAACTGGGCATGTTTAGTTTGGAGAAGAAGAAGCTGTGGGAGGACCTTATTGCCCTCTACAACTCCCTGAAAGGAGGTTGTAGAGGTGGGGGTTGGCCTCTTCTCCCAAGTGAATAATGACGGGAGCAGAGGAAATGGTCTGAAGCTGGGGCAGGGGAGGTTTAGATTAGATATTGGGAAGAATTACTTTACTGAAGGAGTGATCAGGCCTGCCCAGGGAGGTGGTGGAGTCACCTCCTGCCCAGGGAGGTGGTGGAGTCACCATCCCTGGAGGTATTTAAGAAACGTGTAGACGTGGCACTTCAGAGGCATGCTCTAGTGCTTGGGATTGTTGATTTGTGTCTGTTTGTGGGTGGTTGTGGTGTGTTTTTGGTTTTGGTCTGTTTTTTTTTTTTCTTTTTTCTTTTTTTGTGGTTGGACTCGATGTTCTCAAAAGTCCCTTCCAACTATGAATATTCTGTGATTCTGTGATTCGGTGCTTACTTCTACTCCCAACATCAAATCCACCCTCCTTTCGTGCTGCCCAGCAGAGGCTGGTACATCAGTGGTTAACACCACAGCAGGTATTGGTGAACCCGCTCGAGCAAGGAGCACTCCAGAAGGAAACACGGGTTTTTGTCTTTCCTCTTAAACTGAAAGAATGGGAAGAATGGGAAATGGAAAAAAAGTCACTTGAAAAAGTGAAAGGGCTTGGTTGGGGAACAAGGTTGGTTTGTAAAATGAAGCTTTTGACTGGAGATGATGCCAGTGAATCACAGTGGAAAATGTTTGACAAGAAGGACTGATACCTCTGCCTGAGGTGTTTTTCTTTTCTTTCTTTGACTTCTCTGAGAGAGAGCAAGGTAACAAATGCAGCCCAGGTGAAGGCTGTTTATCACTGAATGGTGAATGTCCTTGCTTTCAGTGGGAAATTCTCCATCCATTTTAGTCTATTCATGCAAAAGAAGAAAGTAAATATTTTCGGTCAGCCTTACGTGCAATGAAAGAAAGATCAGCAGCGGAACCACATTTGGGGGGGAAATGTGATCAGCACATAAAGCTCTTCTGCATTAGAATGCATTTGCTTTAAGCATGTGATTCCTTATTCCCTTATAGTTTTATGTATGTGTATTTATAGATCTTCAGAGACAAACAACTTCCACAAACTAATTATAGTGTGTTGCCCAGAGCGCAAGGTACACATTATTCTATGCAGTGCAATGCACAGATACTCTCATGGATACCTAAAATCTGCTGCAATTTCACAGCTGCTCCGCGAGCAAATAGATCTGTGGCAAACAGGAGGCTTCAGAGGCCAGGGTCAAAGCCAGCCATTGGAGGTCTCCATCCACCCAAGCCCTTGGCAGCTGCTGCCCAGCCTCCCTAAAGCAGACCTGTCATTACGCACCGAAAACAACAGAATGGAGGTGTTTAAGTCAACAGTTTTAGTGGGGTATTAACAGAATACAAGAGAAGAGAGTGAAGAAATGTGCCAGGGCTCTTTGAACATGTTTTCTTCAGGTAGTTCCAGCTTCCAAATGTTCCAGCCGATAAATACAGTTAACTTCTTTTATTTATTTTTGTTTCTCCCCCATGCGCTTTATTTGTAACCTGCCTGATTTACTGCTAAGGAACCTTTAGGGCTTAAAATACTGGACTAGACTCCTTAGTTGATCAGTGGTTCGATATAATTAGGATGAATCTGCTTTTGCATCCATTGACACAACTCACAGACGCCAAGTCATCTCTAACAGCAAATGACAATTCTATACGCTGTGCACAGCTGAAAGAGAGGACAAGAGCATTGATTATAACGAGTTCATTGCTTCTAACGAGTTCTAAGCCACCAAATAACTCACGATGGGGAATCTCCAACGAAAATAAATGCTGTACCCTTTTCACATTCATTCTCCTCTTACGGAACAGCTTTGGAGTGGAAGCTAAATAAAGCCCACTGGAGACGGGAGCCATCCTTCACCAGCAAGGGTAATGGACTGGACTGCGATCGTACAGCAACGTACAGCAGAAATAACCCTCTGGTCTCACTGGAGTTACAGCTGTGAAGAACTGACCTGAGAGGAGGAGTGAGTCAGCCACTTTGGGCCTTTGCCAGGATCTCCAAAAAAGTCAAGTCATACAAGGAGAGGCTGAGGGAACTGAGTATGTTAGGTTGGAGAAGAAGAAGCTGTCCTGCTGCACAACACACAGGGTGTCACACAGTGATGCTCTGACTGTCCCGGGTCCAACAACCGGTGGAAGTTCAGGACCCTAGGGCTTTTCCAGCTTCTGCTGGTGACCAGATGGACCTTGAAAGTGTGAAGGTGGAACAGTTCCTCTGGTTGTGAATCTGCTGTAGCAGCTCGTGTGCTCTCCCCACTTAACCTTTTCTCCCTGCTGAGTACAGGGGGGACAGGACTCAGACTCCCTGCTGGTCCAGCTTCTGCTGGTGACCAGATGGACCTCAGTGATGCTCTGACTGTCCCAGGCCCAACAACTGGTGGAAAAACGTGGCACTTCAGAGGCATGCTCTAGTGCTTGGGATTGTTGATTTGTGTCTGTTTGTGGGTGGTTGTGGTGTGTTTTTGGTTTTGGCTGTTTGTGGGTGGGTGTGGTGTGTTTTTGGTTTTGGTCTGTTTTTTTTTTTTCTTTTTTCTTTTTTTGTGGTTGGACTCGATGTTCTCAAAAGTCCCTTCCAACTATGAATATTCTGTGATTCTGTGATTCGGTGCTTACTTCTACTCCCAACATCAAATCCACCCTCCTTTCGTGCTGCCCAGCAGAGGCTGGTACATCAGTGGTTAA